TGGTAAGTACTCGGAAAAGCAGTAGAGGGCGTGTGAGGGCCACCATAAAGTTGTGCAATTTAGATATTGCTGAGGGCAGTTGAGTGGGGTATATAAAGACTGGAGTAAGTGAACACAACGTCAGATGGCAATGAAGAAGATTGAGAAATAGCTATTAGTGTCAGCAGAGGTAAGTATGTTTGGAAAAACATTTTCAGTTTAGGAAAATGATAATTTTCTGCTTCTGCCATACCTTCAGGAGTGCCCACCTCTTCCACTTCCTCTTTGGCCATTTCTGTTGAGGCAGCCACGATCTGACATCGTACACCCAGCTATCCAAAAGCTCAAGCTTCAGGTATGGAGATGTGTTCCTTCACATGATGTTGGGGTTTAGGGGCCCGGCATGACCAGGTGGTTAGGGCACTCGACTTGCAATCTGAGGGTCACGGGTTCGAATCCCTGTCCCACCAAACATGCTCACCATTTCAGCTGTGGGGGCATTATAATGTGATGATCAATCCCACTATTTATTGGTAAAAGAGTAGCCCAAGAGTTGGCGGTGGGTGGTGATGACTAGCTGCCTTCCCTCTAGTCTTACACTGCTAAATTAGGGATGGCTAGCACAGATAGCCCTCATGTAGATTTGCGTGAAATTCAAAAACAAACAATGTTGTAGTTTAATTTCTCAGGTTGTCATATATCTGTGTCAGACTTTGCTTAGTCCCACAATGGACATTTATCCATGGAAATGGCACACATATCGGTAATGGTATATTGAGAGAGGGTTGAACCCACTTTGATCAGAAGTATCAACCATAACTCGTTTTTTGTGCTGGATCCTTGAAAAGGTCTTTGCATCTTTCACTGTTGCAGCCTTATCGACTACCTTTCTATATTGGAAACGAAAATTCTTTGAATCCCCAGATGGCTTCCTCATGTCGTTTTGGGTTCTTTGTCACAAATTATTATTACATTTGCCTAACTGGTATATTAAGGTAGCATTGCATGCCCTTTCTCAACATACATATAAGACCTTAGCCTCATGTACCATGTATCACCTTTCTCTGGAGGTTTAATTTTCGTAGCTGCTGACCTACAGACATCACCACTCAGAGTGGTTTACGCAGATTGTGCATAGGACACTTTTTCATTCTACCTATGTCCTCAGATCGGATCTTCTTACCTAAGATACTGGAAGCCTACTCATAATACTGGTTCAGATTTGATGCTCAGCTATCTGGTTGGGTTGAGCATGGTCCTTCTTTTACATCAATATGGGTTCAGTACATTGTTCATGTAAGAGGGTCCATTATCTCCTCATAATTCCGAATGCAGAGTGGTCCCATCCCGAGTCTTTGATTGAGCACAGTTTGTTCCACATCTTCCCAATAATTCTGGAGACAAGAGGAATTTACCTTGCCCACTCAGTTGGGGAGTGAAGTTGTGTGTTCATAATTTCAAACCAGATGAGTTCTGTTTTCTCAGGTTGAGTATGGCATACAGGATCCCATCATTCCGAGTTTGGAGTGTTGCCTCTCAGTTTTCTTTAGGTTGAGGAGAAGGTTTGTCCACCTTGTTGTTGCTTGCCTTCTCATCGTGATTCCAGTGGCTTGGAACAGATCACTCTATGGCTACAGGTTGGGATCCACTCACAAGTGTGTGTGTGTGTGTGTGTGTGTGTG